CTCCCAAACTACTGAAACTTAACTGAATAAAATATAAAAAACAGAATCCCCCAAGGTTACATTCAGTGGGGATAGATTAGAGGAAACTTTCCTTAGAATACCACTCCAGAGCACAATGCTCGGTATTCTTACATACTGTAAGTAGTATATTTTGCAGTTCATATAATGTTGATTCAGTTGAATAGATACTCAATATATCCCTCTGGAAGCAGCTGCTCAATGCTCAAGATATGAATTCCCAAAGCGATTCTTAATAGTCCCCTAGATCATCTCTATTTGAATATAATGAATATATATTTTTCATTCTTAACAATAACTAAGGTAGAGCATTCACTGATGGAGGAAATGATGGCATAAAAATCAAGCAAAATGAATGGTGCTGCGTAAAGCAGGAATACAATTTTCCTGTAAACCATAAACCCGTCTACTTTCATGCTGCAGGATTATCTCATCAAAACTCTATCCAGAGCACAAAATTATAAGCGTAGGTACTTATTTTATATGTTATGTTTTATGAATATTATATGATGAGCTACAGGAGATCTTGAGTTTCCTGATGTCACATCGGAGATATGAGCCAATATACGTTTTAAATAAACATTTTGTTTTTCCAAAATAGTTGCAATCGCATTCACATTTGATTAAATATATTATTCCCAAGCTTTTGGTCTACTTTGTTCAAAGTGGCGTCAGAAATTATTGGCACGCGAAAGAAGACCTTTACTCCCTTTCACTAAAAATCATCTCATCATGCAGCTCCGCACGCTGATATGAAATCATGTTACATTCATTAGTTAAGCAAACATGTTTTTCTTTTATTGTTATTACTATTTTACTGTAATTATTGTTTTTTCACGTCATGGGCATTAGTGATGTAAGGTGCCCAAGTGTTGCATCCTAGGAAGGTTACATCAGCAGAGCATTTCTGGGAAATCTCATCTGTAGTCTCATGAGATCTCATTGTAAAGCATTTTCCTCCCCTGAGATGTGTATGGTCGCATACCCTAGTCACCAGAGTTCCAGGAAGTAAAGGGAGATATATTAACCTGCCCTTAGTAAAAATGGCCACTGTGACAAGAATGGGGAGGAAAAGAAATACAAGGTGTGCAAAGAATAAAAATCTGGCTATTACTGTATCTAGTTTGTAGAATGTTATAACTAACCATTTCTAAAGGTGTACTTGTTGTCATTTCAAAAATATAGGTAAAGTTCCTCTTGAATATCCCACTTCCTCACCTAGCAATAGTTAGCATGGAAATAGAGGTGTAAGCACCTCAATATAGTTTTACACTTCCTATTTGTCATATAACTAAATCATTGGCAAATATCTGCTGCCCTTACGGTACCTGAGGTTGCCCAGAGAGTTAAAGGAGTTGTAAAGTCCCAGTATATACTATCCTGTTATAACATCAGCATTGTAATAGAATACATACTTGAGGAGTTTTTTGTAATGCAATCAAATGGGCAAACAATTTTAAAATAATATTATTCATAAATGCAATTGCTGAGATTAAGCTAATAGTGTTCACATACATTTCTGGAAAAAAAACTTAATACAAACACTTAAGTATCCCTCTAAAGCCCTGTTGAAGAAAAGCTGAGCTTTTTTGTCTGGATTCAGATTGGCTAATACATGCTGAGGAGGAAAAGAAGTCACATAAGTGATTATGCAAAAACGGCTTCTGTTTTTAGAAGGTAATGTTATAACTAGCGTCCTCCCGTCACCCTAAGCTCAGTATACCGCGAGCTATACTGAGATGCCACAGCTGAAGCGGATCCTGACAATTATGTCTGGATTGTGTAATGCAATCTCAACCTCAGTTATTCACTAAAAGAGTGAAGAGTTTGGAGAAGGCCGGAGAAGTGAACAATCTAGAACAACATAGCTGATTTGGAAAAATTCTCTAATTCAGCTCACTTTCCAGTTCAGCTATGTTGTCCTAGATTGTTCACTTCTCCTTCCTTCTCCAAACTCTTCGGGCTTGTTCACATCAAATGCAGACCAGATCTGCAGGAGTTTCTGCACACACAGTACAATGTGTTTTGCCGCGTTTTTGCCCATTCCGGGCCGTTTTTGTAGAATTTTTTTTGTTTTGTTTTAGTCTAAAATGGGCTTTCAGTGTGTTCCATGGTGTTTGCATGTGTTTCTGATGCATTTGCATGCATTCCAGAGTGGGAAAAATAGGGCTTGCTGCAGTTTTTTTACATGCTCTGGAACTGAACGCTGCAGTGTGAACTAGAGCCCAAAATACCATCAGAATACATTAGATGCATTTTTGATGCGTTCTGTAACTGCTTTGCTCTGCATCACATTTGTGAACAAGCCCTTCACCCTTTTGTGAACAACCCTGTTAGTTTCACACTGGGTTACTGCACAGATCTGGAAGAAATACACAAAGCTCACCAAGATTCATGTAAAAATACACATAACTCTTGTATTTAGACAATATTTGCTTATCCCGGAGTTCTGGAGATTCAATAGACCAATTTTAAATTGTGTAATGCAACCTCAGCCCATAATCTAATAGGTATGAGTTAATCCAATGAGTAACTCATGAGAAATGTATGGGGCCTGCCATTGCTGACAACTGTTTTAAGAGTGCTAGTTCCCTGGCTGTCATGGCTCAGGCTTCAATTCTTTCCGAGTCTCTGACCTTTAACAGATAAAAACTTCTGAAACTTTTTCTTACAGAATCCTTGTTCTGGGTCCCTGAATGAGTATTGAAGCCAAGCCCAGCCAGGCAAAGCAGCCCAGCAATGGCAGCCCCCCTACGTTTCTTTCTAACAGTCACAGAGTTTTATTTCTACAATTTAAATATGGTCTATTGTGGACTAATAAAGTTATGCAGTTCGGCTCTTGACTCAGAGCTATATTGCAGTTCTGTAGAGAGTCCTAGTGCAGCTCTATGTCAGGTACCTTAAAGTGATAGCTTAAAATAGCTTTTGACTTATATCTCACATTCTGATGAAAACAATTACAATGGACGCTGCTTCTCGATGTTTAAAAGATTTACAAAAGGGTGAAGGGCTATTCACAAAAGGGTGAAGAGTTTGGAGAAGGCAGGAGAAGTGAACAATCTAGGCCAAAATAGCTGAACTGGAACATGAACTGAATTGGAGAATTTTTCCAAATCAGCTATGTTGTCCTAGATTGTTCACTTCTCCTGCCTTCTCCAAACTCTTCACCCGCTTGTGAATAACCCTGTTAGATTCCTGCAGAATCAGCTGGTCCCCTGAGGACTGGTCCTAATATCCTGTTTTACATAATTACATAGTAGATAAAGTTGAATAAAGACTAGGATCCATCTAGTTCAACCTATGTGTTTTAGGGTGGCTCCGTTGAAGGGTCCTATGGAGACACCCTTGTGTGTGCTAGTAAGCTGTGTGCTTCTCCACAAATACACAGACAGATCAAGGCAATCAACTCCTATCCCCCCTGTTCCCTATTCCTTCTTCCTCTCTTCCCCAAGCTAGTAGATGGACAGCTGCTGTAGCCTGCTCTCTCCCTTGTGATCTTGTACTGGACAGGAAGTTCAGGGAAGCTGAGCTGAGAGAGTTGGAGCTGTTTGAAAACATGATGACTGTAAGTGCTTGGGCAAAAATGTAAATACATATTTTGTTGGGAAATGTACATTTGTTTGATCTGGATTCATTATTGAAAAAAGTTTGAGAGTTTAAAGGGGAACTATGGGGTTAGGGCTTTTCCCCATAGTTCTCCTAAGGGTAACGGGAGTACACAAATAGGCGTCCTCCTGTCACCCAAAGCTCGGTATACCGTGAGCTACAGCTCGCGGTATACTGAGACGCCGCAGCCGGAACGGATCCCGACAATTATGTCTGGATCCACCCAGCTGCCTGAGTGACAGCTGGCTCTGCCTATCTAGAGGCAGAGCCAGCTGTACCCGCCCCCTCCCCCGTCGGTTCCGCCAGTCAGCGCTGGAGGATCGGAGCAGGGAGGGGGGAATCCAGTCCCTCCCCTGTCACGGCTCTCTGCTGGCACAGGATCGAGAAGTGAGCGAACGCTGGTATGTGTTCGCTCACTTCCCGATCTACTGAGCTGACCTGTGACAGTTTAATTGTCACAGTCGGCTCAGATTATGAGCCTGAGTGAAAATCACGCACCTCATAATTCTCCTTTAATACTACTTTAAGCTTTTGTGAAACTTTTCCCACCTTCAAAGATAATTCATAAATATTAGGGCTGTGAAAATTAAAGATTAATTTCTCGATTAATCGTTAAACTTTTTGATCTATTAAAATTATTTTGATCGCTAATGAAAACACTCACCTCTCCACCGGCTTCCGGTAGTCCCGTCGGCGATCCGGTGACGTCACGGCCATCAACGTCACCGGACTCCTCCCCCCTTCTGGCTCCGTCGGCTAACGGAGGGAAGGGGGGAGGAGTCCGGTGCCGTCGTGTTAGCTGAGCCACTTGGGCCGCTGAGTTTGCCCAAGAAACTTTCTGCACGAGCGCCAGCCAAGGCATTGGCCTATACACATGCAGCACAGCAATGAAGTAATAAAATGAACTAGGATCACACTAATCCAGCACGTTATTATTCTGAGTTGCCCCACTCAAGCGGCGGCCATATTGATTGGGGCACGTGAGATTAATAACGTGCTGGATTAGTGTGATCCTAGTTCATTTTATTACTTCATTGCTGTGCTGCATGTGTATAGGCCAATGTAGTTGGATCTGTATGTGCGTTATAATTAATCGAAATTAATCGATTAATCGATTTTAAAAAAATTCGATTAATCGAACACGAAAATTTTAATCTTTACCAGCCCTAATAAATATATTAACAGGATCGTATCCCATCAGTAATTTTGTGGCTGTGTAAAAAAAAAAGTACATTTCTAAGATAAAGACGCATTCTTTAAATGATAAAGTATCCTGGAAGTATAATTACAGGAAAGGATAATCTGTCTGTTCATGAGTAGAATCATACAAATAGCAGTTTCAATTTCAGCTTGTTTTTTATTTTTCTTATTCACAGAATGTTTGTCAGACCCTGTGGTGTTCAGTAAAAAATTCATGCCGCTCCAAGCTTGATGCCACAGCGGATGGAACCAGATGTGGAGATAATAAGGTGAAATGTATATCCTATTATCTAAAGATAAGTAAAAATGAGTGTCACCCTCCTCAGGGCACAACTGGCTGCTTGCACAGGCCTGCTTATAACATTTGTATAATTCCTCCATTTTTATCTTTGGCTTTGGTTTGTGTGAGTCTTCAGGCTCATTCACATGGGCATGCGCACCCATACAACGTGCATGCCCATGCAGAGACCTGCTCTTGGGAGGGACAGCATTTCATTGCGTGTAGACATGTGCGATTCATTTGGTTCCGAATCAAAATTTGTACGAATTTTCTGTAATGCTTACAAATCCGAATTTCCAAGTCCCAATGCATCCGAATGTGTACGAATCCGAATTTCCATTTCCAAATTTTGGATCCTGTCTGAATTTCGTTCAAAAACGAAACTGAATCGGACATGTGACTTTTCTGGCCAATCAGATGTGTTTTCGGTTTATTTCATCCGAATGGGTCTGAATACGAATTTTCGTTACAGCAACATGGGAGCCATATGTATCCATATAATACTAAAGCTGAATCTCCTAGACCCGAATGGCATTCAGGATCTAAATTTCTGAATTGCATTCCGGAACTCCCGAATGTCATTCGAGTCTAGAAGATTTAGCTTTAGTATTAATATCTGTATATGGTTTTCTGTGGTATTCACAACAAATATTCATTCGTAAACTTACCTGAAACTAACGAAAATTTTAATTACGTCCGAATCCAAAACCCGGAAACGAATTGAATTTTGGACCCGATCCCTGAAATAAAGAAATATCTCAACCTAAACTAAATTTTTTTGCAGCTTACAAGTCTAATTGCGTTCAGCTGCCTGTACATCCCTATGGGATGGGCATACACGCTGACCCAAACCTGCACTTCCAGAACACCATAGTTCTATATGCTCCTGGATTCCAAAATCAGCTGCTGAAGAGCTCTATGCATTCTCACACATTGAACAAAATTAAGGTATCTGATTTGAAGCCAACGCAGTCCTGATACATGTTCTTCCTTAGTAAGCCCTCATGAAGGGGGTATTCGTATGAGCTTTGAAATGCGTTGGCTATTTCTTTACTTTTCTCTTAACCTTCCATTAAATAAATATGTATCTTGACTATTAAAGAGAGTGCAGCACTTCAATTAACAATTAATCACAACAAATCATAACCTGTTAAATGATACCTTCTCATTGTGCCTTATGCCCTGCTCCATAGTCATTGTGTCCATGCATTGCACTGATAGAGGCCAGCAAGCCTGAAACAACTGTATGCTGGCTGAAATGAATGGCTCGCCAGAGGTTCTGGATATAAAGTTGGCCAGGTTGCAGAAAATATTAATCTGCTCACTATCCTAGAATAAGGAATAAACTCCTTACTTTTAGGATTTGTGATGGAAGTGAAACATGTTGATATCTTTTGATTTAGGAAGACTCTACTGTGCTTCACATTTTGGTCCATCTGACCATAACCTGTTGTGTTATACCTTTCACAGGTATACAGTATATTCTCAGGTATACAGTATCATATTCTCATTCTGTATTGTTTCAGTGGTGCATCAGTGGTGCGTGTGTAAACGTGGGCAGACAACCAGACACTGTCCATGGAGCTTGGGGTTCCTGGACAACATGGTCACACTGTACAAGAACATGCGGCGCTGGCGTACAGAGCGCTGAAAGGAAGTGTAACAATCCTGAGTAAGTCAGAACATATTTTGCTGCACGTGTGTGTGAGTATATGCATGTGTATGAATGTCTGTGTTTATTTCCTGATGCAAAATATTATTATTCTTTTTAGCTTATTTTATAACATGAACATCTCCTTTTATCACTGTGCACAGGGGGGGTCACTAGCATATTCACTGGGAGGATGAGGGTGCTGGTGGTGCTCATTCCAGGAAGGGGGGGATCATCCCACCCAGCTCACTGACATCACTGGTTGCCAGGAGCTGGGTGGGACCCTGGCCAGAGCGTCCCAGGTTGCTAAGAGTTGGGTGGGGACATGTGTATGGCCCTTACACGTCTCTCTGTCTGGCTCTTATCAACCAGGGAGGCGCTGGCACAGTACAGCAGAGCGGCCATACAGCTCTGCCACTCCCCCCACATGACCGGGTGACCCCAAAAAATGCTGCCTCATTATAGGGACAGCCCTGACTGTGCAGTCCCCTGAGCTATCAATGTGTACCCTTTTTTATCCATCCTGCAAGTGCATCAAGAGACAGCAGAAAAGTATCAGAGCTTGATGAAGGAAGATGCGTTTTACCTAGATTTAGTGCAGGACTTAAACCCACAGCTGAACTCCAGCCTATCCGCTAAATACACAGTTGAAAATTATGTATCCACTAAAACAAGCATGTTGATAAGAAGAAAGAGCAGAGAGATGAGCTTTTCCTTTCACTGTCCAGTCATATGACGGGGTTGCAGTAGGGAGGAGATCTGTAAGGGAAAGTTCAACTGCGGCAGAGAAAGAACACTTACTCTGCAAGTTTGGCAGAGCTGTGTAAATCTCTAACCTACATGGACAGAAATACATAATGCTTTGACAGGTAAAGCCTTCTTAATATATTTATTAGCTGCTTGTGTAGAGTTCTCCTTTAAGAATAGTATCTTTTTGCTGATGTCAGTAAAAATAATCACCCAGGCGGGTTTGAGATATAACAGAAAGCATTGTTATTATTGCAATGATTGTGTGATATTTAACATTTCTGTATATTTGCAATGAAAAATCACTTCTCATTGCTATTATGTCGGCTTGGCAACTAATCAAAATCCATCTTTCACCTTTAATCTGATTAGAGGGAATAGAAATCTGTTGCACTGCTATGGATCACAACACTTTATGTATCTTCCCCGCTCCTTGCATCTGCTTATTGAATAAACGCAGTGGTGTCTGAAATGTTTACCGCAGATTACCCATTAGTAGTTGAACATTGTGTTGTTACTGCACCGCTACAAGTAGCCTTCCAAATATTTCATTATAAGACACTTGAAGAGCACATTTCAGGGATTACAAGCCATGAAATCAGTAACACTCACTGCTTGAGGCTATTCTAAACATAGCATTGTATCCAGGCGTTGATATGAAAGACAATGCTTCATAAAGTCGCCGAGTACGCAATACGAGTCCGCCATTTACTTTCCACTTGTACAAATAAAACAAGTAAAGGTAAAAACTTTTTTTTCTTGATGTTTCTCAATGGACAGTGTAAATTTAAAGAGACCCTAAACTCAAGAGTTAAATATTAAAAATACATTCATGTACCTTAACTATTAACAAAAATGTACCTTATTTGTGTATCACTCGACTGTAGATCCTCAAATCATCTCTGAATTGGTGCTGACACTGTCCTTCCTTCTGGAAGGTGGCTACTTTTGGTTCCCAGGGTCCCTGTGTGTGTTGTAAAGTAGTCACCACTTCAAGCTCGCTCCTGTGATGGACTACAATCTCAATACAAATTATTAAACTAAACATGACGTTGTAGTCCATCCCAGGAGTGAGCTTGGAGCGGTGACTACTTTACAACACACATAGGGACCATGGAGGATAAAAGTAGCCCCCCCCCCAGAAAGAAGGACAGTGTCAGCACCAATTCAGAGATGATTTGAGGATCTACATCCGAGTGATACACAAATAAGTTACATTTTTGTTAAAAGTTCTGCTCCATCAGCTTCTTTCCAGCTTCTGAAGCTGGAGAGTGACACGAGAATGCGGAAGTGATGTAGTATACATCACTTCCGCATTCTGACAGCGGAGAGGGGACCGGAGGGAGCTCGTGTACCAAGCTCCCTCTGATCCCCTGTGACAGAGGCCGTATTCCGGTCCAGGGCTCGCCACGGGCACAGCGGAGCCCGGGACCAGCTTGATAGCCGGCAGATCGCTTGTATATTAACGGGCATCGCTGCCTCTTTCCAAATAATGTGCATTTCCCGCTCGCGCGTGCATGTCTTGCAGTCTTTCATATCTGGATGTCACCAAAAGATATACTACTACTGTAATGAAATGGAAAATCGTAACTTGTTGACCTCAAACTTGAATATTAAAGGGAATCTGAACTCAAAAAGTGAAGATTTACTATGTTTTGGGGACAATCTAGAAAAGTTATTTGTGCCTAAGCAGTACCTTGAAAATATATTTCTGTCTTCAATTCCTCCTGAAGAATAGCAGTACACTTCCTAAAATGTTCTGTAGCCTAATAGTGGTATAGCTGCAGTGTGAGATCATCTAGGGTACTGCCACCTCTGACTAATAGTTTCCCCAGATTTGGAGTTGGAGGATCTCCCTGCTTCTGTTTCATGTATTCTGTGGATCTGTAATTTTTCTCCTGCTTCTTCTTGCTCATTACTAATCCATACATTAGATCCCCAGTTATTGAGGGGCAGATCTGACATGAGGAAGCAAAGCCCTGCTCCTCTAGCAAGATGGCTGCCTCCACAGAGTGACATCATGCAGTACAAGACCTGATAAGTAATGGCAGAAAGGTCAGCCTCAGGGATCCTATAGGAAATACTGGTGACTAGTTCTTTGTCCTCTGTGTCCTATTTAATGGGGATGTGCAAGGGCTTGTTATGGTATTCACAGGTGGTTCTGAATCTAGCCATGCACCCTTCAAATGCTAGTTTACATTTTGCAGCTTTGATAGTAGGTGAGTTTTGTGGCACAGCCAACCACTGCCTGCAGCTTTCCGACCATAGTTGCCTATTGTTTCCTTTGGTTTTGGAAGCAGACCGACTATGACTCAGTGTAAATGGAGCCTTACAGTGAGATAAGCTGATTTAAGATTAAGCCATTGTAGAAGCCTTCCAGTTGTCTACTGCACATTAATCTAGTTGTATGCAATACTTTGCGGGCAGATTCATGAAGCTTCTTGATGGACTTCTGGACCTCCTCCTTCTGTAGCATTCTTCTGTGCTTAGTCAATCTAGATACAATTTTGCAGTTACTGATGCTATTAGATGATTTTTCTTTTTTTCTTCAGGCCCAAATTCAGAGGGAAATATTGTACTGGAGAACGAAAACGTTACCGCACGTGTAAAACAAACCTGTGCCCTAAAAAACAGCCATCCTTCCGCCACATGCAGTGTACCGAATTCAACACCGTGCCTTACAAAAATGAACTGCACACATGGCTTCCCATCTTTAACTCAGGTGGGTATATAGGCACAATATGAATGAAACTTTGTCCAGAAATGTTTTTTCCATGGGTCAGATCTCTAAAAATAATTTGCTAAGAAATGTATTTCAGTGCATAAAGCTGGGAGGACTAAAAATATACAAAGCTAATTTCCTAAACTAGACCCTGAGAATAAATAGTTGTCTGTGGACAACCCAATGATTTACTCTTCAATGACTTATTAACCATATCATTCTACTGTATATTTATATTATTTGTGGTAGTGCAGGATACTGAGCATGCCAAACTTCCATATGGATTACCGTTTAGAGATAAAGCTATGGAACTATGAAAAATTGAAGCAGCATGTATAACTGATACGCACATGTATAACTGTATAACTGATACGCACGCCATGTCTTAAGGCAGAATAAATCCATAAAACAATTTCTAGAAGGAAGAGCTATTTGGCAATAAAGACTTTCTATGTGTAGTTTGCCAAAAAACTCCATCCCCTTTCTTCCAGCAATATTTTTGTGTGTCCATTGCCTTTCGTGCAAGATATAAAATGCCACGGACAATATAACTCCAGGGAGCATGCTCAAGAGTTACATCATCAGTATCCACCGAGGTCCATTGTAGCATTTTCAGTTATACTGTCATTTGAGTCATCTGTACCCCCATAAAGGCTGCCATATCTCCTGACCAAACTTAGTGCTGATAGCAGACCTTCTTCTCTTCCCATTGTTGCAGTTGACTGAACACCTCATAGTTCCTTCTCTTAAAGTGTATTTCCACTTTTGCAGTCAAATTTGGAAAACCCCTCTATATGTTTGTTATGTGTTCCCATTCACACAGCATACTGCAAACTAATAAAAACAAATATATTTCTTGCATGTTTAGTTGCAGCAGTCAACAGTTTTTTTCTAAGCACCTTCACATTGATCTGTCCTTATAGTAAGACTTAGGACAGGACTGTGTGCAATGTGTTTTTTCCCCTTATTAACATACAATGAAGAAGCCTGGGTTCTAATCCTTTAACCCTTTGTTAGGACAGGCCGTGTTCAAATCTACTTTACACATGATAATGAAATAAGCCAGCACGACACAGACAGGGTTAACAAACTTCTCACAGAACCTCCTAACATTACAAAGAAAGAGAGTCAAGTAGAAACTTTAAACCTCAAGAAGCCAAGTAGAAGCTCTAACCCAAGTAAGGGCTTGTTCACACCATGTCTGGACCAGATGCGGACCAGGACAGTTTTTTGTCATGTATTCCGATTATATTTTTGTACTGCAATGTTCAGTGACAGGTCCCAGCAACATATACGAGAGTGGGTGGGTGAGGGCTGTACTGTAATGTTCAGTGAAAGGTTCCAGCAACATATACGAGAGGGGGTGGGTGAGGGCCGTACTGTAATGTTCAGTGACAGGTCCCAGCAACATATGAGAGTGAGTAGGTGAGGGCTGTACTGTAATGTTCAGTGACAGGTCCCAGCAACATATACGAGAATGGGTGGGTGAGGGCTATACTGTAATGTTCAGTGAAAGGTTCCAGCAACATATACGAGAGTGGGTGGGTGAGGGTTGTACTGCAATGTTCAGTGACAGGTCCCAGCAACATATACGAGAGTGGGTGGGTGAGGGCTATACTGTAGTGTTCAGTGAAAGGTTCCAGCAACATATACGAGTGTGGGTGGGTGAGGGCTGTACTGTAATGTTCAGTGACAGGTCCCAGCAACATATACGAGAGTGGGTGGGTGAGGGCTGTACTGTAATGTTCAGTGACAGGTCCCAGCAACATACGAGAGTGAGTAGGTGGGTGGGTGAGGGCTGTACTGTAATGTTCAGTGACAGGTCCCAGCAACACATACGAGAGTGGGTGGGTGAGGGCTGTGCTTTAATGTTCAGTGACAGGTCCTAGCAACATACAGTATACGAGAGTGGGTGGGGTCTGTGTTTTAATGTTCAGTGACAAGTTCACTTTAATTTGTTTTCACCTTTTTTTTTTCCTGCAGCAAATCCCTGTGAGCTCCATTGTCGCACCGAAGAAACGAATCTAGTGGACAAACTTCTTGACGCAGTAATAGACGGGACTCCGTGTTACAGCGGCGACAACCAGAAAGACGTCTGCATTAATGGCATGTGTAAGGTATTTGGTATGTTTCATTTACTTTTCAGTAATTCTAATAAGCGTGTTTCCTCTTTCTGTAGATTTTACAAGATGTGTTTGTAAACATGTTTTTCTTTTCTATGAATGTTTACATTGTGCATGGACGTGTTTCCTTGCAGAAGTATAATTAGAAAACCAACGCTAAGAGCGACGAGGAGCTGCACTGTACAGGACTGTATCTATTACCAAAAAATATTATTTTTGCACACATTCTAATCTCAGAAAATGCTATCAAAGATAATCTTCGCTGTCTATAAATATCAAATAAAACTTCAAGTTTTTGTGAAAGCTAAAATCAACCTTACGCAAACCGGTTAAAAAAATGATGATTCCTCACATCACAGCCATCACTGGGCACTTTGGCCGCCTGTATGTATTTCCTGAACCACCGTTTAAAAACATCAAATCAGAAATACACGTCCACTTCCCGTGAAGGACGTTTTTATACAGTACCATGGTATGTAGATGGATAATAATCTTCCCTATATGTATTTTAGCATCTGGCTTCTATTCTGAGCTCCAACTTTAAACTTCTGTAGCACCCCCTGACCCCCAAGGGCATGTGGTGAGCTCCAGAGGCAGGGAGGGCTGACATTTCACTCTCAGGGATGGATCCTCAGCTGGGTTGTGGGATGTGAACAGTAAATTAGGGAACTAAACTGGGAAAGAGGGTATAAGGCTACAGACATCCATGGACAAAATAGACTCCAGACTCACCAGTCCCTTCCAGCTTCCACAGTGAAGAAATACTTTATCTGAGCAGAGGATAACACTGCTTAGGACGAGCCACATACAGGTGAAACTCGAATAATTAGAATATCGTGCAAAGTTCATTTATTTCACTAATGCAACTTAAAAGGTGAAACTAATATACGAGATAGACTCATTACATGCAAAGCAAGATAGTTCAAGCCGTGATTTGTCATAATTGTGATGATTATGGCTTACAGCTCATGAAAACCCCAAGAACCCCAAATCCACAACCTCAAAAAAGTAGATTATTACATGCAATCAATAAAACAAGGATTGTACATAGAACAATATCGGACCACTGAAAAGTACAAGCATGCATATGTACTCAGTACTTGGCTTGGGCCCCTTTTGCAGCACTTACTGCAATTACTTTTGCACGATATTCTAATTATTCGAGTTTCACCTGTATAGAGCCACACTTGGACTGGAGACATTTTTTAGATCTTCCCAGGGAGAGATACCAGACTTGTTCCTGAGTTCCATGCCATATTGGCCTCCCTGGCACCTCCAGCAGACAAAGGGCTTATCTGGTTATCCATCCCAGACAGTTCCAGACCCCACTTGGCTCCCCATCTGGCCTCCTGCAGACTTCAAGCCTAGTTATCTTCTCCAACCTTGTACATCCCACAACCCGGGCTAGGGCCTGGAGGAAGACTGCTCTGAGCACATGGCAATTCTTGAGTACTTATGCACTTCCCCAGCATGCACCACTAGCCATTAAAATTCCTAGTGATTGCCTGGAGAGACATAGACAACCCCAATGTTCTCCCAGTGGCTGCCCCAATCTGTGGCAGGGTCACACCCCACTACAGGTAGGTGCAGACAATAGCAGAACACGCAGGTATTATCACAGACTACAAATCAGCCAGGTTGATTACAGTTCCAGCACCACTAGATTTTAAGAGCCACTCCACGTAGGGCGAAGGGGCTGCATTTCCAAAAACAAAATTGTAAAATAAAAATGTCCAAAGAGCCCTTTAGGTCTAATGCATGAGTTTAAAAAAGTCCACTTGCTCTCTCTGTATTTACCTCCATTGTCTTCAATGGAAACCTCTCTCCTTTGTTTTTGGACAGGCAGGGTTTGTATTGGTGCTGTAATTATTTCTCGGACAATAAACTAATGGACCAACAGTAAGCTTCTAATAGTGACATTACATTATGGAAAGCTGTTGCACCTCTAAAAAGATTTGCCAGCACAAACAGAGCTGAGCTGTACATGTGTTTTCAAGCTGTGTTTACAAGAAATAATAAAAAAAAATATTTCTTTTTTCCAGAGCAATTGCACTTAAATTCTAAACACATTTGCTAATTTGACCAGAACTGAACTGTAACATTTCTGTTTTCAAGCTGTTTGCTATATTCACATGCACACATTTTATTTAAAAAGGACAGGACCGCTGGAGATCACTATGAGTATGGCCGTCCCACAGGAATGAAAATAGTATTAAACTCTTTTTTTTTTTCAATAATGAATCCAGATGAAATAAATATACATTGCCCTGGAAAGTATTCCGTTACATTTTTACCCAAACACTTACAGTCATCATATTTCTGAAGCTCCAACTCTCTCAGCTCCGTTTCCCTGAACTTCTTGTCCAATACACGGGACAGAGCAGTGTCCAGCAGCCATTCATCTACTAGCTTGTAGAAGGGAGGCCGCTGGAGCGGGGAGCAGGGGAATGACTTGCCTTGCTTTGTCTGTGTGCTTGTGGAGACACATAAAGCTTACTAGCACACACAAGGGTGGCTCCATAGTAAGGGAAAGGAACCACCCTAATAACGCATATCAGGACCAGTGCTCAGGGGACCAGCTGATTCTGCAAGAAGCTAGCAGGGTTATTCACAAAAGGATGAAGAGTTCGGAGAAGGCAGGAGAAGTGAACAAATCTAGGACAACATGGCTGAAGTGGAAAGTGCCTTGTTCCCATATATCTATGAAATGACTTTTTATGTCTGCCAGGCTGCCGCTCTACTGAGGTCACCAGCTAGCTTGAAGTCCATCTAGCTAGTTTATTATCCACTCAATTTAAATGTGGCATGATGTCATTTTACAAGAATTTGTAGTTTATGGTGATTGTGTAGACATTAACAGGGTTATTCACACAAGGGAGAAGAGTAGAAGGCAGGAGAAGTGAACAATCTAGGACAACATGGCTGAACTGGAAAGTGAACTGAATGGGAGAATTTTTCCAAATCAGCTATGTTGTCTTAGATTGTTCACTTCTCCGGCCTTCTCCAAACTCTTCACCCTTCTGTGAATAACCCTGTAAATGTCTAAACAATCAACATAAACTAGGTTTTATTTTTTGTGAATAACCCTGTAAACATTTTAAACATCAAAGAGCAACATCCATTGTAAGTGATTCATCAACAATTGAAATAGCTTTAAAACTTTTTGACTTCCACATCACTTTAAGGGGGCCATGGTGCACATAGACAATATGAAGAAGAGTAAGTCAGGGCCACACAGTGAACACCGTGGTTGATGTAGAAAGTTAAGGCCATTACCAGGTGGGCTGCACACAGGGGGCTGGGAGGAATTGATTAACGGACAGCTTCACCAAGCTTGATGTTGTCCCTTAAAGAAGAACTCCAGGATTTCTTTTATTATCCCTTACAGTGGGGCTACCTCTGTACTGCAAGGGTTAAGTACTTCTTTGTGTGTAGGTT